AAACAGATCTGCGCACTTCTGGGTGTGACATTAAACTGCATCGAGTCGGCACCTGACTCAGAGTGTGTCTTGTGACTGCTGAGAAGAGGGGGCATAAATTTGTTTTTAGAATGTGAGCTGGTTTTTCATGCCCCTTTTTCGTGATTATGACTTTTAGATAAGAATTTATTTTTTTTTTTTTTGAGGAAAAAAAAAGGAAAATATATTCAAATTTAAGTATGAAAGTGTAATTTCCGGCCATCTAGAAGTGCCCTAATCATAAATTTTCTTACCTCAGCCCCAACCATGGTGGGGCTGAGGTGGGTGGTTCCTCAGTCTGTGAAAATCGAATTTCGAATTCATGGATTCTGTTGATTTATTATAAGATTGCTGGGCCTACTAATATTATTTACGATGTGTCTAATACAATTTTCACTTTATCCTCTCAAAACAGTCCTTAAAACGTTCAGTGCGCTACTTCACAGGGGTGGGGGGAGGGTGTTCATCCCCCTGGACCCCGCCGAGGTCATACGTATCTCGCATAACGGCTCCATTCCCCTCCCCCCTTTTAAAAATCCTGGCTACGTCCCTGATTGGGGCCAAGTTGACATGGGGCTGTGTTGAGGCCGAGTAGACTGGGGCCGAGTTGAACTACTTCCGCCTAGAATTACTAACAATTAAGGCAGGGAGTTAAATTATAGGCCTAATAGGTGCTTCTTGATTACAAGGCTTAGACTAAGTTAATTAATGGCGAAATTATATGGTTAATTAAATTATATATTATTATTATTATTATTTATTATTATTATTATTATTATTATTATTATTATTATTATTATTATTATTATTATTATTATTATTATTATTATTATTATTATTTAATATTAATTACATTACAAGGCTTAGACCAAGTTTATTAATGCCGGAGATATATATTTAATTTATATTATATTTAATATTTTTTTACTCACTGTCATTTTAATTTCATGTTTTAATTTTTTTCGAAATTTTAGTCAATGGCATGCGAAGCGTGACTGTTGTGTCAGGCACTAGGAACCTGGGGGGCGGGGGGGGGGCAAGCCGGTAGGAACTAAACTTTTAACTAGGCCCACTAGTTTAGCCTCTTTTGCTCTAACCTTTGACAGGAATGTACCTATTTACTACTGATACTATAGAATGGGGTACTACCACTAGCTGTTGTTGTTGTAGTAGGTAGTATTACATTTGATAACAACGTACCAGAAGCTCACAGTTAGTTACTGACGTAGCCTACATCCCATAAATCGGTAAGATTTCATAGGCCTACCGTAGGTAAACATAAATAAAGAACAGTACAGTAAATGTATGGAATACTCGAGCGTCACGACATTGCGAAGTGCCGGCTTTTGTTCGTATCAAACTAACTCGTGTCGAATCAATCCGAGACGGCCCGAGTGGAGTATCATGCAAATGTTTCGTATGGAAAAAAAATCGCGAGCAGCCGGCGAATACATCGAATAACGATCAAATCAATCAATCAATATTATGCAAAAATCGGAGTATTTTTTATTGCTGGAGTTTGTTTAAATAACATTAATACAGTGACTGTAAAAAGAAATGTTCTACTTTTGTTTTTTTCTTAATTACTGTATTATAACGACGGTGTCTTAACTTAATAGTAAAGATTATTGTTGTTTATTATCATTAGTTTTTTTTTATTATTAATATTGATTTTTTTAATATTAATTTTATATTTTTTGATTGCACAATCTTATCTTATCTTATTTGGCTGAGCCTTTTGAACCTCTTATCGTGCTATTGTGCTAATGAGGCCTATTCCTCTCTTTTAAACAACGAAATGGTTGGTGCGCTGACAAGTTACTCTCAAAGGAAGATTGCAAAGTAATGCTCACCTGAGTCATTCCATATGAATCCAATGCACTTTTTTGCTGAAAAACTGGCACCATAGTATAGTGAAAATCAGGGGCCCCGTAACCATTTTTCTGGGACCAAGGTTTCACTGCTGATTTAGCATCACTAGGATATAAATAAGAAAATTGAGCGAGGGGGAACTACTAGAAAAAGGGCGGAACATATTATGATGTTGACTAATAACTTCCCTTATATCCAATGAAAAAGGGCAAATCTGGTGTCTAACTACATGTTATTGCGGTCACTGAGGCCAATGAAACAGGTTTCGAAAACGTAAAATGGCAGCCATATTGAAATTCAAGATGGCAGCCTTAAAAATGGTCAAAAAATAATATTTCAGCATAATCCCACATATCCTCTAAAGCAAATGGTAAATTTGGATCTAATCATATGATTTTGGGCTCTCTGAATACAATACACATACTTTCAAAAAGCTAGGAATGTAGTCATTTTCAAATTCAAGATGGCCGCCATAAATGTCCTAAAAAATCGAATATTTTAGTATGTAATTCCACTTCTCTTTGAACAAAAACTGCTAAATTTGGTGTTTAAAGATTTGCATGGTTTCATAAATCTAGAATAACAACCATTTTAAATTTCAAGATTGCCGCGATAAAAACCATCAAAAAATGAATATTCTGTAATTTCACTTCTATTTGATGATAAATGCTAAATTTGGTGTCAAAATTATATGCTATTGAGTCAACTGAGTTCAATAAACATGATTTCAAATAATTTAGGATGGCAGCCATTTTAAAAGTGAAGAAAAGTGTCAATTGTTTAATTTTTTTGTAGCAAAAATGGCAACAATTTCGTGTCTAATCACATGTTGTCTCTCTCTATATATTGATTTTTGACAATTTTCATGGCAGCCATCTCAGTTGACACAAAACCATATAATTTGACACAAAATTTTGCGTTTTTCACCAAATAGAAGTGGAGTTACATGCCAAAATATTCAATTTTCGGTGGTTTTTATGGCGGCCATTTGAATTCCAAAATAGCTGCCATCCTAGATATATGAAACCATGTATATTGGACTCAAAGAGCCCAATAACATATGCTTAAACACCAAATTTAGCATTTTTCATCAAAGAAGTGGAGTTAAAAACTAAAATATTCGATTTTTGAGGATATTTATGGTGGCCATCTTTAATTTAAAAATGACTACAATCCTAGCTTTTTGAAACTATATTTATTGTATTCAGAGAGCCCAAAATCATGTGATTAGATCCAAATTTACCATTTTCCATAGAGAAAATGTGGAATTATACTGAAAAATAAATGTTTTACCATTTTTAAGACTGCCATCTTGAGTTTCAATATGGCTGCCATTTTAAGTTTTCGAAACCTGTCTCATTGGCCTCAGTGACCATAATAACATATTATAGTTAGCCACCAGATTTGCCCTTTTTCATTGGATATAAGTGAAGTTATGATTCAATATCATAATTTTGGCGGCCATTTTGAAAATGGCCGCCAAAAAAATATGTTCCACCCTTTTTCTGGGGGTTCTCCCTCGCTCAATTTCTTATTTATGCTCTAGTGATGCTAAATCAGCAGTGAAACCTTGGTCCCAGAAAAATGGTCACGGGGCCCCTGATTTTCACTATACCATGGTGCCAGTTTCATAGAATCTATCAGCAGATTTACTGGAAACTCAGTGAAACTATCAATACCTAGGAACAAAATGTAGTCTACAGTCATTTCATTTGCCCACAATGAAACTTTAGTGGCATCCTGTGGGCTAAGTGTCCTAGCTGAGGTGTGAATTTTCCAAAAATCGAGATATATACTTTTGTGATATTTTGGGTCAAAGGTCAAGTTCACGTGAGAATCATCTCCTCTATCCAACGGTACCAGAATTTCTCCAATACGTTGAGTTTCAAGAGGGATATCAGCAGTTGTCTGTCAGAAGGAGAGTTTTTTAGCCAAATCTCATGAAAATTTCAAATTGCTCTAACTCATCAGAAAATGCTGGCACGGAGCCAAAAATTTCACTGTGGGGTTATCTCAGGTAGAACCCCAAACATGCAAAATATTGGGCGATTTCAAGGGGGTCGGGCAAAAAAGTGTGTTGGATTCATATGGATTGACTTACTTGTGGCACTCCCTGCGTTCCATAGCATACATTTGTCACGGATGAGTGAAGTTTTCCTGCTGCAATATGCTCTCAAATCAAACAGAGTAGGTAATGTATATTATTATTGCTTTAGCTATTTGTTAATGTTATGGTTAGGGTGGCGTACTAATAGAATCGGAAGTAGGCTCTATTTATAAATAATAGTCATAGCCGTTTTAGCCCTGGTTAGCCTAGGCCTAGGCCCTAGGTGCATTCTCTGGCTAGCTATAGCCTAGGAATTGCTAGGCTCTAGTCTAGAAAGGCCAACCAGACCGAATCACCGGCAGACTTCAGGCCTAGCTAGAAGGAGCGCCTAGGCTAGAGTCTATATTATATAGAGCCTAACCCTAGCTGTAAGCCTAGCTAGGTAGCTTAGTAGTAGTAGGTATGTCCCGGTCCCTAGATTAGTGTCAATTAAAATAATATTATTTGAATATTAAGCAAATTATTATTTTTATTTTAGATCCGACGATCTCTTCGTGGCGTCAGATAGCAGGGGTCCATGCCTTTCTGACGGGGAGGGCGAGGGCCAGGACCTAGCCTATTATCTTGTTAAAAAAAGTGTACTGCGAATATTTTTTGAGCACATTATTCAAGCTACGCTGAGAGTTTAACCAAGCAATTGTTGCCCAGGAAAAATATCTGGGGTTGATTTTTTTTTTTCCAAGTAGCAACATCCAATTCAAAAAGCACAGTGACTTGGTTAATGGATTTTATACAGACTTTAGCAGCTTATTTGAGAATTTTACTGTAATTTTTATGTTTTTTAAAATTTTAATCTTCCATGTGTCATTGTGAATATGACTGCAGTTGAAAGTTTAAAACTTATTCAGAGATACTAAGTTGTAAGTTATTATAGTCTACTTAATATATTATTTCCTGCTAAAAATTAATTTATTATATTTGTGTGTTTACGTAGTGCCTTTCTTCAGATACAAAGCCCCTTCTCCCCCCCCTCCAGATCAATTGGTCTATATGCTTTGAAGTTACTTATGTACATCAGCAAGCATAGTAACAATGAAACATTCTTTTTATAGGAAATTTTGTAAGTTCATCTTGCTCATCATTTGCAGTTTTGTTATGATTCAGAAAACAAATTCAACATGATGAATTACAGAAGATTTTTAAACGCAATAAGCGAGGCAAGGCAACCTTCCCCTTTGCGAGTACTTGGTAAGTTGACCCAGTTTATAGCAGTGTCAATCAAACTTAACAACTGTCCAATCAGAACGGAGGCAGGAATGCACATGTTTTACAAACACATAAACGCACACATGTTTTTTGTGTTTTTATGCTAAGCTACCAAGCCAGTGATAAAAGGATTTTAGTGAACATCAAACATTATTTTAGTTCTTGTTTATATTTGCAACTTTTTCATTGGATTTTTCAATAAATACTTCAAAGATGTTACAGCAGAAACTAGCGTAGTCACTTCATAGAATGTATATGTACCGCCCTCTGCCTGAATACCGAACAATTCGCAGGCTGTGTACGATTAACAATTCCATTATTTTCCGCCCTGAGCCGAAATAAGAATATACAGTCCATGTATGATGGATGGATTCTATTATTTTCTTTTATTCTCGAGAATAAAAATAAACCAAAAAACAAAAATCAAATTTCTGTGACCTTAACCTTTGAACTTTCTCCCCAAAAGTGAATCATCTCTTTCTTAGATTATTTTGTACCATTTTACTAAATTTTATGATTATCCGTTTCATAGTTTTTGCGTAATTTCCCAACAGACAGACAGACAAGAGATAATAAATGGACCTCCCCTATAAATGTTTGTCACAGTTTGTTTAGTATCAATATCAGGCAATTTATAATTCTCTTTTGGTTATTTTTTTTGTTCATATACACTATACATCATCTTACTTTAATGTTTTATGAATTTGTTTATTAATTTTTGCTTGCTTCCAATAATTTTATAGCTGAAGTTATTGACAGGAGCCCACCAACCACGATTTCAATGGCAAATGGGAACCCAAATAGTACATTATTCCCTTTTGAAGAAGCATCTATAAAAATGAGGTAATTTATTATCAATCTTTCATTTAAATTTTTTCTTAATAATAATTTTTTACATTGTAGTGATACCAATTTATTTTTAACAAGTTTACATTGATTAACAAAATCTACCTTATATTTTTACAAATTTATTTTTTAAACTTGATTTTGATCATCATCATTTTTTTTTAAATTTTCATGTTAGTCATAATATTTTACTTCATATAATTCATAGGTGTGGGATGGGGGAGAGGGTGTGGTTGCAAATTTGTTCCACTAAGTGGGTTACAATACTAAAAATGATCAGGTTTTCATCGGTATAGGGATTTAATTCTGCATTCTCAATTTTCACATCCCCCGAGCTGTTTCCCACCCCCCAGACCAAAACCAGCCTATTTCCCTGTAATTTAATGCATTTTAAACTAAAACTTATCATTGATAATTTGTCCTGTTTCGCACATTATTCTGAATCATACATTATTGAATTCAATTAGGTAATCCAACACGCAAAACATTAGAGTGGTTGCACAAAGCAAAAATAAAACGATTTAAACAGTAAAAACCTAAAATCAAACAGAGTGATTGGAGAACTAGGATGGCCCATAAAGTTAGCAAATGCTGGCTCATTGTTAATGGGATCCCAGACAAATAAACAGCATTGACAAACATCAAACAAGTTCAAAATGGAGGATAACAATTTCAGAAAGGAAAAAACATTCAAATATAAAACATTTGAAAAAATAACAATTCAAAAAGTTAAAATTTTAAAAAGTAAAAAGTTAAAAATGTAAAAATTTGAAATGATAAAATATAACAATAACAAATTTGAACATTCTAAAATTTAAAAACATAAGAGTAGTCAAATTCAATGACAAAATTGCACAAGAGTTTTTCCAAGATGTTACTGATTAACAAGGAACTTGAGCCTTCTTTCAAAATCATTAAGTTGGTCCGAAAGTGTCCGTTCATTTAGGAGAGCATTCCAGTCCCGAATACCAGTAATTATGTTTTAAAATTGTCAAATACTATTTATGTTTACATATTTTCTACAAATTTCTTTATATCAAGTAAATAATGTTTAAATTTGCTTATTTTGCAGATAAATTTGTAAATATTTCCTTTTATTTACTGACCTTCAATTATATTTCAAAAATTTCTGTTATTGATTGTATCTTTACAGAGATGGAAGTTCCATCAAAATAGATGCAAATGATATGAGTAAAGCGTTGCAGTATTCGCCTACGCCAGGGTGAGCTATTATTTTTAGTTCTGTAATAGGTTTTTGCTTCTTCACATAGCTCCTCTCACCAAGTGCTTCTTCCAATACAGTATGGAGTGATATTCTATAAACATTGGAGTTTTATATTTACAAACTGAAGCTGTGTTCAGAATTGACTTTTTGGGTCACACTACTTGTTGTCCCCATAGGGGAATAGAAAAATATTACAACTATAATTGTCTTATTGTTTTTCCTATAAAACAGTTTTTACTAATTAAAATTGGGAAGTTGCAAACCTTACAATAATAAGATAATATTAATTTCCATTGGGCCAAACAAAAATCATATTTAAAAAATGCTAGAGAAATAAACACATATGATGCTCATATTTAAGCCCTATCCACACTATCTAATATTCTTTGACCATATATAGTCATGATGTGCCTATATATGGTCACAGTGTGATGTCATCATGACCATATTTAGCCATGTCACATGTTATTGTCAAATAAAATGTGATAGCCTGCCTTAATCTAATTATATGGCTCAGGCATTGGAGTTGAGTTTTGACTGTAAGAAAAAAATCTTGGTGTTACAGCAAGATTTGAACCCAAGACCTTCAATTCCAAGGCAAGAATCTAAACCAGTAAACCCCTATTTCTAAATTTGACAGTTGAGTTTTGTTAATGTTATCGTATGTTCAACATTTTTCTTTCTCCAAATTATTAACTTAGAAATAGTGTTTTGTCTGCCTATTATGAATATAATAGTATGGTTTTTTGTAAGACATGGAGACTTACTATAAAGGGGATTGACCCGAAAATTCATTGATTAATTTGTCATTTTCATAAGATTGTAAAATCGCCCTGATATTGTTGAATTTACAGATTATTCTTACTATTTACTAATACATTTCATATTATTGCTGAGTAGTTTAACAGACTTGAAGAAATTGCTGATGACAATGCAAAAAGAGCTGCATCGACCTCCGACCTTGACCTCTACAGATGAGAATCAGACTGACTTAACTATCACTACTGGAAGCCAGCAGGCCTTGTGTACAGTAAGTGAACTGTAATTGTACGGTACTCACCATGAAATCTATGTACTCCGCGACTGTACTTTCAAATGTTGTGATCTAGTTGATGAAGTACAGGAATGACCTTGGCGGGTGAGGCAGGGGTCACGTAACCTACAGTACATCCATAATACTGACGCTGGTTCGAAATGCACGCTCGGTCTAATGGTTCTGGAGGTGGAACAAGTCTTCTTGGATGAGGACTATAAACCGTAGGCCCAGTGTACACAATTTGCACCATTAAAGAACCCAGTACATCTTTCGAGATGAGTAGGGGTTACCCTGCTGTGCTTGTCCATACAGCCCCTGTTGTGGACAGACAAAAGCGGTGTAGCTCAGACACGGATAGACCCATAGGTTGAAGAAAATTACAGTTTGAGCTTGTCCATGCTTCACACGTTTTTAGACTCTATATAGCGCTATAAACCAACTATTTTTATTATTATTATTATTATTATTATTATTATTATTATTATTATTATTATTATCGCATGCAGTAGCACAGAATATTTTTGGTTTGCATCATTGATCAAACAAGAACATCGACTTTTTTAATATTCATATTCTCAAAATTATAATCCTTAACATGATATACAATTTACTGAAATCAACTTACTATTGCCAAAATCACGAGTAAAATAATATGGCTTCTGTGGATTAAAGTACAGTATATTAATACTGCCATGTCCTTATGTTAATTACTCAGTTTACAGCACACTGGTTTTGGGATGCAAGCCTTATATGTGATTAATCAGCTAATTTATTTTATTTATTTATTTTATTTTATTTCAACAATCTTTAATGAGGGCGGTCCATCCAGTCGAAGCTGGAACTCTCAATACACATAGTAAAACAAAACAAAAGAGATTATGAAACCAATTAATTAACAGTAATATAAATAACAACCTTTCAGTACTTAAGTTACATAATAAATTAATTCAAAGTTATATAAATAGCTTAATATAAATAATTTAAATTAGATTGCAATTAAAATAAATAAAATTTCATAGTTTAAACAATTCTTTAGATGTTTTGCTTACTTTTTCTCCTTATAATGTAGGCCTGTGAAATGCTTCTTGCTCGCGGTGATAATGTTTTAGTTGGGTCACCTTTGTATCCTGGTGCTGAGGTAATGGTAAGTAATGGTATTTTACAGTTTAACGACAGCACACTGGTTTTGGGATGCAAGTCTTATATGTGATTAATCAGCTAATTTATTTTATTTATTTATTTTATTTTATTTCAACAATCTTTAATGAGGGCGGTCCATCCAGTCGAAGCTGGAACTCTCAATACACATAGTAAAACAAAACAAAAGAGATTATGAAACCAATTAATTAACAGTAATATAAATAACAACCTTTCAGTACTTAAGTTACATAATAAATTAATTCAAAGTTATATAAATAGCTTAATATAAATAATTTAAATTAGATTACAATTAAAATAAATAAAATTGATAGTTTAAACAATTCTTTAGATGTTTTGCTTACTTTTTCCCCTTATAATGTAGGCCTGTGAAATGCTTCTTGCTCGCGGTGATAATGTTTTAGTTGGGTCACCTTTGTATCCTGGTGCTGAGGTAATGGTAAGTAATGGTATATTTTCCCCTAAGACTTTTTTGTACCTTGTTTTAACAAACTTTTTTTAAAATAAAGATCATCAGAGAACAAAAATGATACAAATACAAGACCAAAAAAAAAAAAAAAAAAGGCCTGGTTTTCCTATCTCAGTGCTGTACTGCATACGCCAAGCCAAATCTGTCTCAGCAATCGCTTCGTCTGAGTCTGATCAGTCGTGTCAGAACATAACATTGGTGATTTGACCATTGGCGGTCATCTAGAAGTCTGAATTTTTTAAAACGCCCATAAATACTTAGCCCCTGAAGTCGGACATATTACTTCCCCCCTTAAATTATATCCCAGAGCCGCTACTCCACTAATTTCATATAAAAATATAAATTAGTTTGCAAAATGATTTTTTTTTCTTCAGATGAGGCCATTGGGAGTAAATTTTTTGGAAGTAAAGACAGATGGTGATGGTTTATGTGTCGACAGTTTGAAACAATCTCTCTCGAAATGGACACCTGATGATATCGAATCCAGGTAGAGGATGCTGTAAATAATATACTATTTGTGCTAAAAAATAATGAATAATTGAATTAATTTATATATTCAAGTGATTTTTTAGTTTTCGCTTCAATCATTTTCATTTTTTCATTGGGATGTTGCTGAACTGACAGCAATCTTTTTGATGTTTTATCGAAAAGTTTTTCCAATTTCATTTTTGATTCAACTTAGGTAAGTCCAACTGTATTATTCAAACATTTTTTCTGATGTGTTTTACATATTGAAGTGTTGGAAGTGTTACCCTCTGCAGTTATAGCCCAATTCACCACAAGTAAAACCCCATTGGAAGCCAATTTTTAGATGTCTGTGAGTTATCCCTGCTGTTTCTCACACAGAAGAAATCCAATACATTTTAATCCAGTGTATTTTCTTTTTTTTTTGTTTTGTTCTCTAGCCCTGATGCTCCAAAGGTGTTGTACGTTGTACCAAACGGGGACAACCCAACAGGAGGTGGTCTGCCTCTACATAGAAAGCAGGATATTTATCAGCTGGCTCAGCAATACAACCTTATTATATTGGAAGATGATCCCTATTATTTCTTACAGTTTAATAAGGTTAGACTAGAATATGTTATTAAATGGCTTTGTGGTTAAGATGCTTGTCCTCTAATTCCAAGGTCCTAGGTTCAATTCAAATTTAGAAAATGTTTTCTCATAACAAAAAAAAACAAACAAAAAAAACTCATTTCCATATGCTTAAGCCTCATAATGAGACATACAAAAATATGAAATAAAAAAATTGTAGTAAGACTAAAAAAGGGAATTATGTTATATCATTGTTTTCAATTTATCATGATTTTATCATGGTTTCTCATGGATTCCAATTTCATCACTTATTTAAACATGCATTGTTACTGTCTATTTTACTGTGTTACGATGGAACCCGGTGAAAGCAATAGGGAGTTTTTGATGCATGACGTTTACCTTAACTTTAACTTTAGTACCAAAAATGCAGCGCGATAGCTCCGCCCCTTTTGTAAATAAATCAAAAGATGCATGCACAAACCTGTAACTAACGTACGTCGAGCTCATAAAGTCCTGAAAATAACATACTCCGCATTGCAAGATGAATAAATTGACGTCATCCATTAACGCTAAGGTTAAGGTCGCAAAAACTACCTAATAATAGTTTAATTGAATTAAGTGTGTGATATCATCATTCGACTGAGCCTTGTCTTTAAAAATTATGTTCACAATGGGCATTTGTGTCTGATGCTTGACATTTTTTTGGGGTAGATTCGATGTAGAGGCTCGATTTATATTTACACAGACTGTTAATTTCTATCTTTAGCTTATGATCCAATGGTATCCCATAGTTCCTCTCTTTGAAATATGAACTTTTAAACTGGATTTACTCATGACAACTTACAGGTGAGACAATTACTAAGTGTCTAACAGTCCCCACGGGAGAAGTAGACACAAAAACTGTCCTTACCATTGAACTGATAGACTTTTTTTTCAGCCTAAAGTTCCGAGTTTCTTGTCTATGGATGTGGATGGAAGGGTACTTAGGTTTGATTCTTTCTCCAAAGTCCTTTCAGCAGGGTAAGAAAAAATAACTGAAAAAAAAAATGGGTTACAACATTTGAATTAAAAATTGAATATTTTTTTAATTGAATCAAAAAAACATAATGTTGCAGCCTTTACTTGTCTGATTATAAGCTCATTTCGCACTATATAATGGGCAATGAAATATTTGTTACAGAAAATGTTATAGTGTTAAAGGAGTGTTAGATTTTTGTATTCCTATCCAGTGGCTAATCCAGAAATTTTAAGTGCAGGGCCCCCAGAAAGTTTTCTTTTACAAAATGAGGTTAGTTCAACCCCACCATGCTTTGGGCTGAGGTATGAAATTTTATGTTTATGGCACTGGTGAGGCGTGGTAGCTGGCAAGCCATCTCTATCACCTCCCCTTTGAATCTGCGTATGTATCCAAAAGTTTTGGTGTTTGATTCCGGCAAGAAATACCACAGTCATTCAAAAACCTCTCCCTAAGCCTCAACTCTCAGTCTATACTCTCAAGAGACACTGATGTAAAATTATCACATGTCCTGTATAGAATGCTTTTAAGACAAATAGACATCTCAGGGGCCTGTAACACTTTCAGGATTTTTGACCTGATGATCGCTGTTCAGAGTAAAGTAGTGCAGCTTATCTTTAACTGTGCTGTCTCATGTATTTTTGCTCTCTGCGTATCAATTCTTCCATCTTTTTAGCAAAGTTTTCATTGATTGTGTAAAGTGGTGTTTTTATGGCAGTTCTTAGGTAAGGTAAAAGGTAAAGGTAGAAGAATAACTCATACAGTAACATGCAGCGTCATTGTGCTGAATTGCATATGGGCGTAGTCCGTGATAATATAGCAGCACGTAAAAAGGGCGCTTCATGTTCACATCATTCCATAACGACGCAGCTCTTCCGAAAATGCAATTGGTTCTATAAAATGCACACGAGCCAGATGTGTACACTGGACGTCCATTTTATGTCCTTATCTGAGAAGACTTTGTTCTGGAAAACGAACCATGGGTGAGAGAGTGTCTAAAACCAGCGCTGATAAAGCTGTATCTAGTGCCGCCTCTGCCTTACCTACCGTTCGGTTACTCGACTCGCCATTTGTACCATTACGCAATGTTCCCATCTTAAATTGTCATGTTAATTGAGTACAAGCTGATATGCTGAATATTTTATTTTAGGTTACGGATTGGGTTCGTAACTGGTCCTCAGGCATTGCTGAAAAGAATTAATTACCATCTAATGGCGTCAGTTCTTCACGCCAGCGGTATTTCTCAAGTGAGTATGATGATAGCAGCATTAAAAACTAGAGCCGTCACTCCATAAGAGTGCATACCTCCAGCCTGTGCTTGAATACAGTACCAACAATAAGTATGAAGGGCGACACTGCACACCCTAAAAAAATAATGGGATCACCCATTGTATTCAGCCAAATTTGCCGTATTGGATTGGTCGTGCTTGGTGAAACCATGGCCACCTGCGCAGTTGTAAAAATCTACTTAACAAAGATGACCAGTCGAATAGAAAACTGGTTACTCGACAAAACAAAATGGCTGCATAGTTAATGCTATACATGTTGCATAATCAAGGCAGCTTCGGATTTTCGCAGTATGGGTTTTTCGTCAAAAAATTGTTTTCATCCAGTGTTTGAATTCTGTTAGCCTACAATTTTTTTTTACTTCAATGTTGGTAAATATAATTTTTATTTTCTGAAATTTAATCTAAATTATATTAATGCAAATGTTGTGGCTAAATTAGCCAATCAGCCATATTTTTTTTGGTCACATGCATGAATTAACGCTGATTAACGCATTCTGGTTACGTTCATTTTCGCTGTCAACAAAGTCTATTTTACGAACCAGTCATATCAAAATAATACTCAACAAAAATTTGTACTCAATGAAATGAACCAGTCGATAAGCCCATTGTTTTCTTGTAACTTATTTATTTAGGTGCTCTTGAACTTACATATCATCTATTTTTTGATGACCTAGAAATTCAAAATGAATACCATATTAAAACAAAAAGATATCTAACTCATGAGGAATATGAATTAGCAAGGAAACTGTGTGATAAATATTGCAAACTATATTTAAACTAATACATGGAAAGAATGCAATGACATTAATAGTACTTTTCCATTTAGCTAATATCTCTATTCACCATTTCTTGATGCCAATGATTTTTTATCTGTATGGCAATTCAAATTAAGGTCTTATTTGTCAATTAACTGTTTAGGATATAAAATCGAATTTCTGTGACATTGACCTTGTCCTGAGACCTTTTCTTTCGAAAATTGAAAGAGGTCTTTCTTCAATTATTATGTACCATTCCATGTGAATACATAACCTCTTTAGTTGAGATAGGTCATTTGTTCATTATACAACCAATTGTATTTTTACATTTATCTGTGATTGATTTCTTTGATGTTGAAATTTTATGAATAGGATTCATGTTTTTTGTATTCACTCTTTAAGTCAACATCAAACTTCACTGTCTGTTTCGTGAAATAACCCGATAAATGCTTTTGCATGGCCAAGTCTAGCCTCTAGCTGGGCCTAGGCTAGCCACACATGGCCTAGGCCCATCTACAGGCTAGACTAGGCCAAGCAAAGTCATTTATCGGTTTATCCCGGTAAATATCTCACTCATAGAACAGCATCTCTACTGATTTGTTTAATTTACAGATGTTTGTGTATAAATTACTGGAGACGTGGGGTATGCAAATGTTTCTTGAGCACACTCAGTCTGTGGCTGATTTTTATGAGGCGAGGAGAGATGTAATGTTAGCAGCAGCAGACAAGTATCTTAAAGGTTAGCGATTCATGTTTTGAAAAGATCTGTCCAGATTATAAAAAAAACTGTTGTATGCCCATATATAGTCATGATGCACCTATATATGGTCATGATGTGCCTATATATGGTCATGATGTGATGTCATCATGACCATATTTAGGTATGTCACATGTTTTTTGTAAAATAAAATTTGACAGTGTGTACTCAACACTAAGGCTGTAGTGGTGCTTCCCCAGCCTTGCCACTCAGCCATTCATTCCCACTTCTTTAGCAATAACTATTTATTTGTAATAAAATACTAAAGTTTTTCTTTGATTTAATTCATATCGATTACAGGTTTAGCTGAGTGGAGTGTTCCGCGTGGTGGAATGTTCATTTGGTTCAAGTTACTTGGTGTAGATGATACTTACGAACTTATAACTGAGAAAGCTATACAGAAGGAGGTGCTCTTTGTACCGGGGATATCGTTCTGTCCGGACCGATCAAAACCATCATCCCATATAAGGGCATGTTACTCGCTAGCAACAGATGAGCAGATGGATGAGGTGAGTGTTCAGTAGTGGAGGTATAATCCTGCTACGGTAGTGGGGTATTAAGAATCTGCGACATGGATTGACCTTAATTAAAGCTATCATCTTGGTATGGTAGTGGGGTATTAAGAGACTGCGACATGGATTGACCTTAATTGAAGCTATCATCTTGGTATGGTAGTGGGTATTAAGAATCTGCGACGTGGATTGACCTTGTTAATGATTGAAGCTATCATCTTGGTATGGTAGTGGGGTATTAAGAGACTGCGACATGGATTGACCTTAATTGAAGCTATCATCTTGGTATGGTAGTGGGGTATTAAGAATCTGTGACATGAATTGACCTTGTTATGTATTGAAGCTATCATCTTGGTATGATAGTGGGGTATTAAGAGTCTGCGACATGGATTGACCTTGTTATGTATTGAAGCTCTTATCTTGGTATGGTAGTAGGGTATATAGGCTACGGTCACACTAGAGTTTCAAGCCTGGCTTGACTCACCGCGGGTGAGATTTTCGTAATGTGACCGCATCTGCACCGACTCGCGCCTGGCGTGACCTCGATCTCAATCTACCTATCTCGATCCCGGCTCAGCACCCATATTGACCCTGGATTGACCCTGGCGTGACCGAGATTGACATTTCCTCGTCGGCTGTCGACCAATCACAGTTGATGACGCCGTTGCGTTTGGAAGTTCTTGAATAAAAAACGTGTGTTCAATCAAGACGCAATCATACTTTTCATAAAAGTTAATTCAAATTATTTTAATTAATAATAATGCGATTGATTTGGAGTGACCGGGAAACTGCTGACCTGGTAGATTTGTGGGGCCAACCCGAGCTGAGAGACCGGATAGAAAATAAAAAAACAAACAACAAAACGGGAATTTTTGGCGTGCTTGCTGACAGATTAGCCAGTCTCGGACATGAGAAGAGAACGACGGCCCAAATTCAAACAAAAGTGAAGGCATTGCGAGCCCAATACAAGCTGATAAAAGATCATTTGAAGAAGAGTGGTTCGGGCACGTCTGGTGTAAAATCTTTGATTGCGATCCACCCAATCACACGCGCGTATATCGAATCCCGTGAAACAGAGTTGGCCAAACTCTCTCTTTACGGCTCTGCTGTTTCGACTTTCATAATTTGGAGGTCAATCCAACTTAGAAGTGTGACCGACCCAGAATTTTGAGCCTGGCTTGAAATCTCACCCGCGTTAAGTCAAGCCAGGCTTGAGACGCTAGTGTGACCGTAGCCTAAGAATCTGCAACATGGATTGACCTTGTTATGTAATGAAGCTATGATCTGAGTATGGTAGTGGGGTATTAAGAATCTGCGACATGAATTGACCTTGTTATGTATTGAAGCTACCATCTTGGTATGGTAATGGTAAATAATAACAATAACCTTGAAGTCCATTTTTCCTTGTAAGTTGTGCCTCCAGTCTTCATCCATGTTGTTTTTGTTTTATTAAATCCAGATTACCTCTTTGACATTCTTTATCAGTAATTTTTAAATCGGAAATTATGTGTTTTTTTGACAGGGAATTAAACGCCTGGCTAGTTTAATTGTTGAAGCTCAGAAAGAAACCAAGTGAAGTTTGGCAGTATTAGAACCAGAGATCAGGCCCGGGATTTATCAATCTCAGCTTAGCAAATGTCTCAAGTCAAAAAAGTTTAGATGTCCCTAAGCAAATACCTTAAGCTGATTTATCAAAGCATCTTAGCAAAATCTTAGCTTAAAATCGTCTTAGACGGCGCATTCGTACAATTGACTCTTTAATTTTAAGCAATTTTTAAGCTAACCAATATTGATAAATTTGACTTAAGCAAAAAATGGACTTAAGATGAATTTAAGCTGATTTCTAGTTTGGCTGGCCCTGGCTCACAAAACTTAAAACAACCTATAGGGCATTTGAAATCCAATTCGCTATACTCAAGTATCAGAAATATACATACTATTCATGAGTAAATGTGGGTAGGTCTCTCTAAGCAGTGATTGTGTGGTTTCCACATACTAACATACAGGGTATTTAACTTAACTATTATTTGATGTACTTAACCATCTTGATATGGAAGTGGGGTATTTAGGATCTGCAACATGAATTGACCTTGTTGTTATGAAGTGAATGGATTGACCTTAATTGAAGCTATCATCTTGGTATGGTGGTAGTGGGGTATTAAGATTCTGGGACATGGATTGACCTTGTTGTTATGTAATGAAGCTATCATCTGAGTATGGTAGTGGGGTATTAAGAATCTGTGACATGGATTGACCTTGTTATGTATTGAAGCTATCAACTTGGTATGGCAGTGGTGTATTAAGAATCTGCGACATGGATTGACCTTGTTATGTATTGAAGCTATCAACTTGGTATGGCAGTGGGGTATTAAGAATCTGCGACCTATATATTATGATTGCGTTCAAAGTCAGATCCAGATTTGTTCCTCCAGGATGCAAGGATACTTTATTCATCCCACTGTGGGGAAATTTAATGGCTCATTATATCAGTGTGATTACATCACTTCTACCTCTACCTGATGTACTTAAGGCCAAATAAAAAAAATCACTAGTTTCACGTGCCATTTTGTATTCCTCACTAATTTTTTTTTTTTTTTTTTTTTTTTTTTTTTTAACGAATGTACAAAAATGTGGCTAACTCACATCAGTAAAATTCCTCTCTCGATTGTTTGAATCATGTCTGGTACTTCTTTTATTTGCTTTCAATGTGTCTGGGAAAATTGTGAGAAAGTAGTAGCTGTTTCCCATCCACCATCTTGGATTTGCCATCTCGGAGTTAAAAAAAAGTGTCCTCATTCTCCTTTTTTCAAAATATAAGGACGAGAAACTACTTTTTTGTTTTACTTGGCCTAAAATGTGTTTATTTTACTTCCTGTTGTGTGTGTTTATGAATACTAATCCAGTCGATAATTATAATGACTATATTCCTTTTATAATAAATCAAGATAGAGATATTTTCGTTTTGTATTAATTTTTGTGTCAACTAAGTCAAAATCGAGGAATACGTGGAATGGAAT